TGTCTTTTTGTAGCAAGTTTATTCACTCAGCAGAATGCTTGCAAGGTTTATCCATATGTCTGAACTCCATTCTTTTTTTAAGAGTGAATTTTGTTTCCACCTTCCAGCTTTTGTGAATAGTATTGGTGTGTAAGTATCTGCCTTGGTCTGGGCTTTTCATTGTTCTGGATCTGTGCCCTAGAAACAGACTTGCTGCATCATATTGTTATGCTCTTCTTAATCATCCTTGTAGAGCATGGAAAAAGCAATGTTCTACCTGACGTTTTAATGAATGTAAGTGTATATTTTTGTTGTTCTCAAATAAATGACAGTTAGTTTTCCTTCTCTGACAAAAGGGGCTGATACATTTTGTTTACTGCTTCCTCTTAGCATTTTTAATGAACTGATTTGTAATTTTCCAAAAGGTATATTATTTTAAAAATATAGATTTTATTTTATATTTAGGTATGATAAGACCAACATACCCAGGACATGTTTGACATTGAAAAGGTATTTTATTACTGACATTCTTAGGATGAAAGAGCATGGCCCCATACTACAAAGAAAGGCTTAATTGGGATTTTCTCAGGAAAGAACCAGGGAGGCAGGGTAAACAGGTTTAGGATTAGTAGCTTGAATAATATCAGTGGGCTCTGAGGTACAGGTGCTAACAGACTGATGCCTGGCTTAGGTGACTCAGGCAGGAGAACAATATCATGTAGTGGAAAAGCCCCATAAAGCAAACGAAGATGTGGGCTTCAGGTTTTTAGTTTACATATGTAAGGCAGATAGACCTGGAAGGGACAGGCAAGACCACAAAGCCAGCCTCAGATGCCAAAGTGTCAGATACAGACACCATAAACCATGGTTTAAACACATTTTGAAGTCACTAAATCCCAAATAACAGTGGAGGCCAAGCAGGGCCTCAGAGGCTCGTAGATGTAGGGTATGAATGATTCTCAATGTTCATCCTCTATCAGAATAATTTTCCAAAACAAGCCTGCTGCCCCCACACCAAAGCCATATGAGTGAGCACCTTTGGGCAGTGGTCATTTATAAAGCTCTGTGCTGGTTCTCATTTCATCATGTGCTGATCTGCTACAGGTTTCTTAGAATCTGATACAGAAGTGGAACAGCATCTCCTAGGAGCATGTTGCCCACGCAGATCTGCAGGCCCACCCAGAGCTGCCGAACCAAGAACCCAGGCTGAGGCTCAGCCTGTGCCATTGCCCAAGCCCCCAGGGGATTCTGAGGCCACTCAAGTAGAGAACCATAGGCCTGGGGAAAGGAGCATGGACTGACGGCAGCATCCTCTCAGCACAACCCTGACCCAACAGTTGTGCTAAGGCTCCAAGGCCTGCGAGGACCAACTAACATGGGTAGGTCTCCGAGCAAGAGCCAGTCGGCAGGGGACAGGGCTGTTTGTCACAGGGAGGAGACATGGGGCTTAAAGGGGGTTCTCAATGTGGCCCTGCCCCTGGAGTCTGTAAAGGCCTTGCTCCCAGATGCCAACATTACAGCATCCTGGAGGAAGGACTGAGACCAGGGAGGAAGCACATCATGCAGCCATTACTGCGGTGGCTGGAGAAGATGACAGTGTAGGCGACCTGGAGATTGTGCTGCGACAGGAGTAGCCCATCTGTGCAGAAGAGTTGCACTTGCACTCTGCTTTGCTGAATCTGTCTGTGGCTTGTTGCTTAAGAATTCTTCAAACATTTTCAAATTGCAAATTTTAATGTTCAGAAGTGGATGTATAAGTAGCAAAGCTGTGGGGCTTTACAAATTAGAGATTGAAAGCAAATGGAGTATTGATAAAGGAAAAATTAAATGGATAAGTGGGCTTTCCCTTTTGAAAAGAAATCATTGCAGAGAATTAGCACAAGCAGTAACCAGAATAGAAGGAAATAACTGCAGGTGATTCTTCCAATGGCAAGAAGATAACTCTAGGGGTACAGGCCTCACACTGGTCCCAACTCCTCCTGATATCAGTTGTAAACTTGAACAAATTAGTTGAATTCTAAAATTTGATTTCCTCATCTACACAGTGAGATTGTGATAGCCCCTACCTAACTATTCACTTAAGGGGCTATAGAAGAGAATGATAATAAAATTCTTGGCACTGTTCTCTTCATAAATACTCCAAATTTAACTACCATTTCTGCTACTAATGCTGCCATTAATATTAGTGTTAGCACAGTGGCAGCTGTGGTCTATATTATGCTGCTATAACAAAATACCAGAGCTTGGATGCTCTATAGAAAAAAGAGGATTATTTAGCTCACAGTTTTAAAAGCTCAAGGGCACTACTTTTGGTCAGCTCTGGTGTGGGTCTTACGGTGGGTTACATCACAGTGACAGGAGCATGTGCAAGAATGGGGGCTGATGTGCATGGATTAGGGGAGATGGGAGGCTCCCTTATACCAACTCAATCTTGTGGGATCTAATCCAGTCCCATAAGACTGACCCACTTCCAGGAGACAACATCCATGACCTAAGAACCCCTCCCCTATTGGTTCTACCACCTCAACATCACCACCCTATAGACCAAGCTTCCTGCACTTGAACCTTTGAAAAACAAACCCTATCCACACCACGGCAGTGACCTAGAACAAGTCTCTCAAGATATTAGCTGTTCTCATCATTCTTGTAACTGCTACTGGGAGTGCTGAGCCTCTCCATTATGCACACATCTGGGAAGAAGGCTTACCAGATGAGCCAAAGACCCTGTGAGAAAAATACCTTTGCTCAAAATTCAGAAAGCGTATTTGAGTCTGCTGCAGAGAAGACCCCTTGCTGTACACAGAATAAGATAATCATCTATGCGGTGAAGGAAGAGCTCTGAAATTACCAAATCTTGTGGATGTGGCAGCACAGGTTGCCACAGGAATGGCTTACATTGAGCACATGAATTATATCCACAGAGACCTGCGATTAGCAAACATCTTAGTGGGGAATGGATTAATTTGCAAGATTGCAGACTTTGGATTGGCCCAGTTAATTGATGACAATGAGTACACAACAAGACAAGGGGCAATGATCCCCATTAAATGGACGGCCCCTGAGCAGCTCCACATGGGAGGTTCACAGTTGAGTCTGACGTGTGGCCTTTTGGAATCTTACTCACAGAGCTGGTCACCAAAGGAACAGTGCTATACCCAGGCATGAACAACTGGGGGTTGCTGCAGCAGGCGAGTGCAGCTACTGGTAGCCCTGTCCCTGCCCCATCTCTGCACGAGCTCATGATCCACTGCTGGAAAAAGGACCCCGAGGAGTGCCCCACTTTTGAGTACTCACAGGGCTTTCTGGAAGACTACTTTACCACCACAGAGCCCCAGCATCAGCCTGGGGAGAACCAGTGAGAGCTGGGTCTGCAGAGGCCTTGTCCCAGAGGCCTCCCACCCCTACCCATTAGCTCTCCATTCTGTAGCCAGCTACCGTGAGGAGCAAGAACCATCCAGGATCAGACTGCATGTGACTCTGAAGCTGATGAACCTCCATGGCCCTCATTAATGACACTTGTCCCCAAAGCCAAACCTCCTTCCTCTGTGAAGCATAAGAGACGGAACCTCATTATTTCTCAAACATTGGAAAACTGCGCTGTAACTATGTTATGTTCAGTGTAAATAGTTACTCCGATGCCAACGAGCCTAGTGCTTTCATGTTTTTAAAATGCAAATCCTATGTGATTTTAAACTCTGTTTTCACCGGCTTCAACTAAAAAAATGTATTATTTTCCAACAAAAAAAAGATAAGCATCCAAGCCGCTACAACAAACCTCCAAAACTCTGTGGTTTAACATTGCAAAGATTTATTTCTTGCTCATGTCTAGTTAAATATGAGTCAGTTGGTGTCTGTCTATCTTTCAAGTGTTGACTTAGAGATCCAGGCAGAGATCTATCTAGAGTATATTCCCAAAGGCCAGGCTTAGAAATTTACACTTGGTGGCTTTCACCTATGGACCCAACTAGTAGGATTAGTCTTAACAAGCTAATTATTCTTCTATCCATGAATCTATTTGTCACATTACTGAGGACCCCTGAAACATTGCTGGAAACCTCTGCAGTAGGCTCCAGTCTCCTGGTCAGTGTATAATGCAAGCCAGAGGGGAAAACGCTAAAACAACAGACTTAAGAAAGACAGAAGAAGAGCCCCAAAGCTGGTGCTAGTCCAAGCCACTGGTTTTTATTGGTAACCAACTGGGATAAAGATGAGCTGTGTGCAAGGGTAGAACTATGTGTGAGGGTGCGCAGTTGTGCAGTTTCTATGGAAACTAATGTAAACAAAGGACAAGACAAAGCATTCTCAAATTCGGAACAGAATAGACAGAATATAGGGTTGTAATTAGGACATTGTCCTTCTAGTTAAGAAAGTATTAATTATGGAAATAGACTTTGGGTGTGAAATACTCTGATTTCAGCATGTAGGCTTCGGCCAGACTTGCTTCTCAAGACAAGCCAGGTGTGGGGTTAACTCTTCACAGTCTGTGCTACGTACAGCCTGCTTTGGGCATAATCAATACTGCAGTTCCCTGCATTACATAGCAAATATTGGGAATCGTCAACTATGGTGGTTCTCATTTAAATATACTAGTCTACAGGTATGAATTACATGGGGAAATCACCTCCTTCATTTACAGAATATACTTCCAATTATGCAACCTAGATTTGTATTAATGGAGGTAAGTAATATTAAAATTAACAATTTTGGCTTAATTGCCACAAGTATGCAATAGATCCAGTTCCCTATCATCTATTCATCTATTTCTCTCCCTCTCTCTCTTTCTCTCTCTCTCGTCTCTCCCTCTCTCTTCAATCTGTAAAAGAGTCTACCTCATGGCAAAAGTCCAGAAGGAGAACATAAATTGGAGAGATTTTCTTTCTCTAGCTAATCAACCTTTCACCCTGCGCAGGCGGCAGACCTCACAGCCCAGCCCCACAGCGGTGAAGGGTGGGAAGGGTTGCTGTCAAGCTTGAACCACCCCTGTTCTTTCTCAGACTGACACCTCGTCCACCTCGCTGCAGGTACCACATCTGTGTGACTGTGCTGATCTACTTCCTCCCCCTGCTGGTGATCGGCTACGCCTACACAGTCGTGGGGATCACACTGTGGGCCAGTGAGATCCCCGGGGACTCCTCTGACCGGTACCATGAGCAAGTGTCTGCCAAGCGCAAGGTGAGTATGGGGCAGACAGCACCTGACCCCCACCCCAGCACAGGCAGCAGGTGGTCTCGCAGGGCTGGCAAATCTGTGAGCCCTCAAGGGAGCAGGTGCAGAGTTTTCCCTGGGTCTGGGGAGGAAAAGAGAGAAGGGGAGAGAACTTTCTTTATCACACTCATACACACACACAAAAACATATACCCAAAACAGTTACCACTGTTATGTATCTTACTAGCCCTTGTAAATAAGGACATTTATAAACCAAATAAATATATATGATTTTCTTTTCTTTTTTACACAAATAGTACATACACACTGTTGTCACATTCTTCACTTAACACGCACCAGAATCCCAAAAATCAATATATAATGAGTTTTCTCACCCCTTTCTCCACTACTTTTTTACTTCTTTGCATAGATAGCATTTCACTGTATGGATATTATATTTTTCACTAAGATTTCTTGGGGATAAGGAGGTTACATCATCCAAAATCTTTGTCTATTTCTATGATTGTAACAAAATATCTTTGACTGGGAACTTGTGAACAGCCAAAATTCTATTTCTCTGGAGACTCTGAAGTCCAAGATCAAGGCACCAGCAGACTCAGTGTCTCATTAGAGCTGTTTCCTGGTTCATGGATGGTCCCTTCTTGCTGTCTCCTCACATGATAGAAGGGGCAATGGATCTCTCAAGCTTCTTGTAAGGGCACTCATCCCATTCCTGAGGCTGTACCCTCAAGACCTAATGGCTTCCTAAATACCACCCCCTAATGCCATCACCTTGGGGGTTAGGACTCTAACATATGAGTGTGGGCGATGAGGAGGCGACAAACATCCAAACCACAGCACTCAGTATTCATAAGACCCTCTTTTAAGCCTAATTTAAACACTGGATGAGCCTTTATTGCCACTGTCCAAATTTCTGCCTCCCCTTCCCTCTCCTCCAATCCTCAGAGAAAGCTCACTGCCTCTCTCCTCATTCACCCTGCTGAGGACCCAATTACTCTTGCTCCTGAATTGGTCTCTTTTGGCATCTTCAGCCATCACCCAGAAGGGGGCGTACACATTTGCCCTCAAACGGAGAGCACATCAGAGGCATCTGAAGGGTTGATGTAGCATGGAGTTTTGGGTCCCTCCTCAGAGTTTCTGATTCCATGTAAGTCTTGGGTAGGCCCAGCGATTTGCACCTCTAACAAGCTCCCCAGTGATGGCAAGGATATAAGTCCAAGGGCCACCCTCTAAGAACTGCACATACAGCCCAAGTCCTTTGACACCAAATCTTAAAGTTTCCTCCTCCTCCTTGGAAGACATATTATAAATACCTCCCACCCCATATCATACTGTGCTCATTGAGGGGTGGGGAGAGAGAGTGCACCAGTGCTCACCTGCCTCAACCTCTCACCAGGTGGTCAAGATGATGATTGTGGTGGTGTGCACCTTCGCCATCTGCTGGCTGCCCTTCCACATCTTTTTCCTCCTGCCCTACATCAACCCGGATCTCTACCTGAAGAAGTTTATCCAACAGGTCTACCTGGCCATCATGTGGCTGGCCATGAGCTCCACTATGTACAATCCCATCATCTACTGCTGCCTCAATGACAGGTGAGGAATCCAACCCACACCCTTCCCAGAGGCCACAACCTAGGTAACCACCCTAAATGGGAACAGCTGGCTGTAAGACAAGAGGAAGAGATAGGGACGGCTGGTTATGGCTGTTCAAGAATCAGCATGAGAGGGACTGATTTTCACTTGTTTTCCAAGAGGAACCACAGCTCCATACTTTTGTGTGACATCATCTGATCTTTAAATAGATACTGGCAACTAAATTGAATCAAATTACAAAAGCCCTGTGATAGGTGCACGTAAGGCAGCCTGCCAGCTGGATCTTCTTCCCATCTCACCATACAATTTGGGCAGCATTCCCCAGTCTAATCTAGCATTTTTGGCAGGACACTACCTGCTTTTACATGGTTAGATAGGCTGGGGAACAGCCATTCTCTCACCAGAAACCAATCTTAGATAAATGGGAGAAGGAAGAGCCACCAGGAATGGTACTTATCAGTAGGTAATCCACTGTGTCATGCAGAGGGTTGCCAAGGGGACCTGGGATGCCAGGCTACAGCACAGTCTATCATCCAGAGAGGCACTCCAGCTCTATTCAGAGAGGAAGAGAATGAAAATATTGATGTAGTCTTTCTATCATCAGTCATCAGTCTGGGGTGATCCTTCTGTGAATCAGGTATCAATGTGGTACTGAGTCTGTGAAAAAAAACAGACTTGAATTGCCAAAATGACTTCTGTTAACCTAATTCACACATTCATCCTTCTTCTAAGACTCTGTCTATCTGCTTAAAATTTTGGGACAAATCTTCTTATACATCTTTAAGTAATGGAAGATTTTCCCTGTTTAAAAATCAAGGATTCCAAATGGCAGGTACAGAAAGAACTGCAAAATAAATAATTAATTTAAAAAATAATAAAAAGCAAGAGCCACCTCTGCTGCATGGCCCGGCCCAAACTATGGGCCTCTCTGGAGTCGTGCCATTTCCAGCAGGTGCCACTGATTTCCTCTGACACAGCGCCAGGAGGGTAGCCACATGGGCAACCCTGAGCACACACACCCCCCAGCAATTAGATCCCCTGATTGAGCCAGTCCTTGGACAAACTCTGCAGAGGCATGGCGGGCTATAAAGGGTGGTGATTGATCCTATTATGTTCCTGATTGTATTGATAGGGATAAAGGATGGGGATTGATTTGATGAGTTGTTTTCTCAATTATGAAAATGAGAATGTCTATAAGTCATTAGAGAATCAAAGACTGGGATGCAACGATATCAGGAAGATTTAATGACACAGAGATTGAATCAAGGACAACCCAACCACAAAAATAAAGATGAGAAAACACTAAAGCAAGACACAAAGAGAGACTTCCAGTCCACCAATGGCAAACAGTACAGCAAAGGAGGATGAAAAATAAGATAGTGAACCTCCAGGACACTCAGAACTCAGAGCATAGGAAGTAAAAAAAACTGATCAATCATGCTTTAGAAAAATTCAAAACAGAAATTATTTCCCAGATAACCATAGAGATGGTGAGTAAAATTAAAGACATGATTCGAGACTCCAGAACAGAAAATGACAAAAACATAGATGAGCTTAGGTACATAATAGAAACCATGAAGGCCCAGAATAAGAAAAAATGGAAACAATGAACACCAAACATAGGAAAGAAATGGAATCCATTAAACAGATTCAAACAGATATCCAAGAGATTAAAAACTCTATTGAAAGTGTATGCAACAGAATAAAAGATTGCAAAGACAGAATCTCAGATATAGAAGATAGAATAGCAGACAGTGGCCATGAAAAGAGAGGTCTCTTAAAAACAGTAAGGGAGCATGAGAAATCGATCCAACAACTCCTAGATGATGCAAAGAAGAATAACATAAGACTGATAGGAATCCATGAAGTACCAGGAGAAAAGTCAAATGACTTAAAAAAGCTGTTCAAAGAATTAATGACTGAAAACTTCCCAAACAGAGGGAAAGAAGTAGACATACAGATAAGTGAGGCATATAGGACACCAACTAGCCACGATCAAAAAAAAAAAAAATTACACCTAGACATATAATAATCAAGATCCCAGAAACCCAACAGAAGAACAAAATACTACAAGTAGTAAGAGAAAAGAAACAAATCACATGCAAAGGAAAGCCCATCAGAATCACAGTAGACTTTTCAACACAAACCCTCAGGTCAAGGACAGCCTGGAATGAGGTATGTCAAGTCCTAAAAGAAAACAACCTACAACCAATACTGATGTATCCTGCAAAACTCTCTTTCAAAATGGATGGAGAAATAAGATACTTCCATGACAAAGAACACTTGAGAAACTTCATGAATACTAAACCAGCACTACAAAGAATTTTAAACAATATCCGAGAAAGATAATGAAGATCACAACACCAGGAGGCCCAACAGAGCAAATCAAATAGCCAAGGCAATAAACTAAAAGGAGAGGACAAAAAATGAAAAGAGTCAATAAAAGGACAATAACATGGCAATAATAAGTCAGGACATATCAGTTATAACTATCAATGTCAATGTCCTCAATTCACCAATCAAGAGAAATAGACTGGCAGAAGGGATTAAGAAACAAAATCCAACAATATGTTGTATACGAGAAACATACCTAGTGCAAAAAGAAGCCCATAGACTGAAAGTGAAAGGATGGAAAACAATTCTCCACACAACAGGAGGCCAGAAAAAATCAGGGGTAGAAATCTTATTCGCAGACAAAGCAAACTTCAAACCAAAACTGATTAAGAGAGACAAAGAATGCCACTACATCCTTGTAAAGGGAACAATCCAAAAGGAAGAAATGACAATCATAAATGTGTATGCACCAAATATAAATGCCCCCAACTATATCAAACAAATATTAAGTAACATGAAAAACCAAATAACCACTAATACAATTGTAGTGGGGGATCTGAATACCCCACTATCGCAAATAGACAGATCATCTAGGCAAAAAATCAACAAGGAAATATTAGAACTGAACCAAACTTTGAAAGCATGGAATTATTAGATGTCTACACAGTGTTCCACCCCACAAAATCAGAATATACATTGTTTTCAGCTGCACATGGGTCATTCTCCAAGATAGATCACTTACAAGCTCACAAAACAGGTTTGAATAAATGCAAAAGAATTGAAGTTATTCCCTGTATATTATCAGATCACAGTGCAATAAAGCTGGAGATCAATGGCATAAGAAACTGTAGGAACTTCACAAACACATGGAAATTGATCAACACTCTCCTGAACAATCAATGGATCACAGAGGAAATTAAAGAAGAAATCAGACAGTTTTTACAAATAAACAAAAATGCCAATACAACATACAGGAATCTAAGGGACACAATGAAAGCAGTTCTACATGGAAAATTCATACCACTGAATGCCCACATTAGGAAAACAGAGCAAGCTCAAATAAACAATCTAACGATGACTCTTAGACTCCTAGAAAAACAAGAGCAAGAAAAACCCAAAGCTCTAACAAGAGAGGAAATTATAAAGATTAGAGCAGAAATCAATACAATGGAAACTAAGAAAATGATACAAAAAATAAATGAATTGAAGAGTTGGTTTTTTGAAAGAATAAATAAAATTGATAAACCCTTAGCAAACCTTATCAAAAAAAGGAAGAAAAAGGCTCAGATTCATGCAATCAGGAATGAAAAAGGTGAAGTCACAACACATCCCACAGAAATCCAGAGGATCATTAATACATACTATGAGAACCTATACTCTAATAAAAAGGAAAACACAAAAGAAATGGACAGATTTCTAGATACTTATGAATTACCAAAGTTGAAAGAAGAAGATAAAAACATTTTAAACACTCCAAACACAATCAGTGAAATTGAAAATGTAATTAAAAACTTACCAACAAAGAAAAGCCCAGGTCCTGATGGATTCACTGCTGAATTTTACAAGACATTTAGAGAAGATCTACTGCCATTACTCTTCAAACTTTTCAATGAAATTGAAAGAGAAGCAATACTTCCAAATTCATTCCTGGAAGCAAATATCACTTTGATTCCCAAACCTGGGAAAGATGTAACTAAAAAAGAGAACTACAGGCCAATCTCCTTAATGAATATAGATGCAAAAATCGTTAATAAAAAACTAGCAAACAGAATACAGAGGATCATTAAGAACATCACACATCATGACCAAGTCAGATTTATTCCAGGGATGCAAGGATGGTTCAACATATGTAAATCAATAAATATAATGCACTATATTAACAAAGTCAAGGACAAGAACCACATGATCCTCTCGATAGATGCAGAAAAAGCATTTGACAAAATTCAACACCCATTCATGATAAAAACTCTGCAAAAAATTGGAATAGATGGTCTATGCCTCAACTTAATAAAGACTATCTATGAAAAACCAACAGCCAACATCATATTAAATGGCCAAAAACTGAAAACCTTCACGTTAAAATCAGGAACAAGACAAGGATGCCTACTATCACCACTCCTCTTTGACATATTTCTGGAAAAATTAGCCATAGCAATTAGACAAGAGAAAGAAATTAAAGCAATAAAGATAGGAAAGGAAGAAGTTAAACTGTCATTATTTGCTGATGATATGATACTCTACATTGAAGACCCAAAAACTCCACCAAAAGACTTCTCAACTTAATTGACACTTTTAGCAGAGTAGATGGATACATGGTCAACACCCAAAAATCAATAGCCTTCTTGTACACAAATAACAGACTCACTGAGAAAGAAATTAGAGAAATAATTCCTTTCACAATAGCACCCCAAAAAATGAAGTATCGGGGATTCAGTCTAACAAAAGAAGCAAAAGACCTCTACACTGAAAACTTCAGAACTCTGAAAAAAGAGATCAAGGAGGATATAAGAAAATGGAAAGATGTCCCCTGCTCCTGGGTAGGAAGAATCAACATAGTGAAAATGGCCATACTACCAAAACTGCTATACAGATTCAATGCAATGCCAATTGAAATCCCAACACTATACTTCAGGAAACTAGAAAGAAGAATCCAAAAATTCACTGGGAACCATAAGAGATCTAGAATACCAAAAGCCATCCTAGGCAACAGACCCATGGCAGTGGGTATAACAATTCCCAATTTGAAACCATACTACAAAGCCACTGTGATAAAAACATCATGGTACTAGCAAAGAAACAGACCTGAGGATCAGTGGAACAGATTGGAAGTCTCAAAAACAACTCCAGGTGCACTCAGCTACCTCATCTTTGACAAAGGAGCTGACAGTCCCCACTGGAGGAAAGATAGCCTCTTTAATAAATGGTGTTGGAGAAACTGGATCTCAACCTGCAAAAGATTAAAACTAGACCCTTATCTATCACCATGCACTAAATTAAAATCCAAGTGGATTAAAGATCTAAATATTAAAACAGAAACACTAAACTTGCTGGAAGATAAGTTAGGCAGAACTCTGGAAGACATTGGCATAGGAAAAGACTTTATGAACAAATCCTCAGTAGCACGGGAACTAGCAGATAGAATCAACAACTGGGATCTCATCTTATTAAAAAGCTGCTACACCACAAAAAAACCATCAACAGAACTAAGAGACAACCTACAATGTGGGAAAACCTTTTTACCAGCCGCTCCTCAGACAAACAGCCCCCCCAAATATAAAGACCCAATTCTAAAATGGGCATCTGAAATGAACAGACATTTCTCAGACAAAGAAATAAAAACAGCAAGTAAATATATGAAAAAATGCTCCACATCACTGGTCATTCGAGAGATGCAGATGAAAACAACACTGAGATTTCACCTCACCCCACAAAGAATGGCTGCTATCAAGAAATCACACACTATCAAATGTTGGCATAGTTGTGAGGAGAAAGGAACCCTCCCTTCTCCATTGTTGGTGGGAGTGCAGACTGGTGCAACCACTATGGAAGTCAATATGGAGATACACCTCAAAGAACTAGGATTAGAGATTCCATTTGACCCAGCTATCCCTCTGTTGAGTATCTTTCCAAAAGAATTGAAAGTATCATACCACAGTGATATATGCACACCCATGTTTATAGCAGCAGTTTGTAATAGCTAAAACTTGGAAATAGTCCATTTGCCCATCAGTTGGAAACTGGATAAAGAAGATGTGATTTTTCTATTAAATGGAATACTACTCAGCCATAAAGAATGAGAAAGTAGATTCATTCATAGGTAAATGGGTACATTTTGAGGATATACTCCTAAGTGAAATAAATAAGTCACACATATGCAAATACCAAATAGTTTCTCTCATGTGAAAAACTAAAATAGTACTCAAGATCCTAATGGGACAATTAGCTACATGAAATAGGAAGAAAAGGACCAAAGGTGTAGGGACAGTGAGAGGGATAGGGAAAGGGGAACAAAGGAAAAGGAAAAAAATATGAGAAATGTACAAATGGAATTAAAGTGTTTGAAGGTGGGGAGGGGAGGAGGGGGTGAAGGGAGAGTGGGGGGACAAGGGGATAAAATGAGAACCAAGACCTGGCATGTAAAGGTACAAGATCCCAGTAATGAATGTAACTGTACTGTGTACCTAGAATGTACCAATAAATTCAATTTTTTTAAAAAAAATTTAATTAATTAATAATAAAAAGCAGGGAAACTGAGGCATGCTAAAAGGACACAAATGGAAGAAAGTTTTATTGCAGTAAGTGGGCCCTTTAAGAGAAAGGTCTGAGAGTCAGTATGTGTTTTTACAAGACATCAGCCTGGTAACTATCACAGTAAGGTACACACAGAAAACTCCTGGTGAGTGTTTTTGTTAATGATGAATTGATCCAGTCTTCTGACCCCACACCAGCGGAGGCAGCATAATCCAGGGACCACAATCAGGAAAGACACGTATTTCACATTGGTTCTAGTCTTGGACTTGACCTTGATAAATTACCTTGACCTTTTTGACCACAGCATCTCCAGATGTTTGTTAGTTAATTTAAAACACAATGACAGAGAGTTATGCTTGAGTGTGCCCTGCAGAACTGACACAGTGGTGGGAAAAGCCTGGGAGCAGGCCATCCCAAGGGTCACCTCTCCATCTGCTCTCTCTCCAGGTTCCGCTTGGGCTTCAAGCATGCCTTCCGGTGCTGCCCCTTTATCAGCGCTGGTGACTATGAAGGCCTTGAAATGAAGTCCACTCGGTATCTCCAGACCCAGGGTAGTGTCTACAAAGTCAGCCGCCTGGAGACCACCATCTCCACAGTGGTGGGGGCCCACGAGGAGGATCCCGAGGAAGGTCCCAAGGCCACACCTTCATCCCTGGACCTGACCTCCAATGGCTCCTCACGTAGCAACTCCAAGACCATGGCAGAGAGCTCCAGCTTCTACTCTAACATGCTATCCTAGGCAATGGGCCACCAGCAGGTGCAGCCTTGGTCACCTCCGTCCTACTTCATTCATGCATGGATACTTCTTTGATTTGGAAAATGTCAGAAACACCCTAAAACTGGAGCCTTTGAAAGGGTCAGGATGGTTTAGAAAAAAACATTTCATCCTGAAATCAATCCGGATTTGTCCGTGGCATTGTCATCCCCGTACTGTGTAACCTAAGACAAATAATTGAACGTCTCTGTTTGTAAAATAAGGAGGTTGAACTAGATTTTTCTCTATGATTCAGTCCATGATTCTAAAAGTGACTTGGACAGCATGTGTGTGCTTATTTCAGGGTGAATTCTGCAGCACAATAGCAGACCCAAGAGTTCTGTTTGCCTGGAGCCTTTGTCTTACTCAGTAAAGTCATTCTGAGCCATCCTCAGATTAGCTTCCTTCAGCTGGTAGTTCACATCACTCCAGCCTTCACTTGACAGGGTGAACAAAAGAATGTGCCGCATATATTCTGCATGAAAGATCTAACTTCATCTTTTAAGCATCTGCGAAAAAAAAATATGTCTGCCCCTATTTAATATCTCAATATTTCATTCAGTTCATTTAAACATGATGGAATTGAGAGCCTCAGGCTCTTCTGCATTATGTCCCCAGAGGCCACCCTGAACGATCAGGGCCAGCAGAATGTATCTACTGATGCCAGCTAATGTCTTTTCTGACCAAGAATCAGGAGGCACTTGACAGGCTTAATCTATCTGAGCTTCGGTCCTTGTGTATGAAAACAGTGGGGCTGAACTAAATCATCTAAGTGTCCCCTAGAATCTGAATGTTCTATAGTTCAATAATCCTATACATTTTTGTTTCTTTGTTTGTTTCACCAAAACATGGTAGCCATAAAGTACAAGCAGTGACACCCATTTCCTGGAGAGACAGCAACTGATAAAACATGTAAATATCCATCTCAGACATTCTCCCCTTTACCCTAAAACCCTGAGTACATTCCTCCTGCCAAAAGAGCTTGGCCTTGGGTAGAGCAGAGGGCTTCATAACAAAGCCTGCACCTCTCCAGCAAGCTTGTACAGGTGAACAGCTTGAGAACACCACTGAGGAAGACCAGCATTCAGACTTCCTGCCCTGGCTTCTCAGTATCTTAGGGCAAAGGCACTAACCCAGATTCTTATCTTTGTGCTAGCATAAGCCATGGGCTCAGAAACCTGTAGAGTGAGACTGCTACACCCTGCAACTGCACTTTTGGGAAGAGGCACCATGCATCTTCCCTCAGTCTCTGAGTGGCTTCTTCCTGTCCCATAACTCTGCTGGTCTCCCTAAAGGGTAGTCAATCTGCCAAGAACATGAGCTAAAAAGGCTTCCTGTCCCAATATAGCCTTGGGGTCTCCAGCAGGTGAACATGCAGTTTCTTCCTGTCTCCCAGATCTGTGTCTTGTCCAGATGTGGCCAGAAGCAAAAGCTTCATATATCTATGAATGCCCTCCTCATGGTTTGAATACTGGATGCATCCATAATGTTAAGGGGAGAACAATGCCACCTAGTGGGTTTGCAGGCTCTACCAGCCCAATTGGTTCTAACCCTGCAAGAGAATCACACACCTAGTGGAAGGTATATAAAAATAGTATATGCCAGGAAAAAAAAAAACAAAAACTTGAGGACCATTTTGTGCAAAGCAGTAAGGGATATATCAAATAAACAAAGGAAAGCCATATGGATGTAGATGTCTGAATGGAAAACTAAATTTACGGACAACAAAATTCCATGCCCAAAGTTTTAGTCACACTTCCAATAGAGAATTGTGCCATATGTGGATGTTGGGAATCGACATGATCCTGAGAAGTACTCAGAAAGAAGGTATACAGAGATGGGGACATCCAACCTACAGGGAAGAACTGAATTGAACTGAAAAGAATAGAGTTGAATTCAACAAGGATTCATTAAGCTTTGCTCCAGACTGAGGCCTGAGCCAGGGACACACAACTACTGCCACTGTGGATGAGCTCACTGGACCTGCCACTCCTAACTTACCGGTCCTAGCGAATCCAGCTGCATAGGAGGAATGAAGACATCTGAGAAGCAGATTCTTCTCAGGGTAATGAAGCCAAAGACTGATACCTTCTGAGAGTCCTTGCAGTGAGAGTTCTCTGAGACATTCCAAAGGGAGCCACCAGTCAGTCCAATGGACCTAAAGAGATATAGCTGAACAGTATCATCATTGTGCATAATAACAGGGTGTGTGGAATGGTTCTAAGCAGCTTTGAGTGCAACAAAACAAAACATCAGAGAGTGCCAGCAGGCCTTCTATTGCCCCACACTGCAATATCTATTTAATTCATAGAAATGTTGTCAGGTCTCAGTGTGTGAGGCACACCATGATTTGCACTGTGCATGGATTTCATTCTTAGTATATAGAGACGTGTTGCCTGTGTTTATGTCTTCTGTGTGTTTCCTTGGTATACTGTCCTATAGTAACAGAATGAGAGACATCATGGGGCTATCTCTGTTCTATTACTTCCAAAATGTGGAATTCGGCTGCTGTCAGTGTGTTGTGTTGTGGCAATCTCCTCTCAATCATTGTTCTTTCTCAGGAGGGAGCTCTGGTTTCTATCATGTACTCACAGTAATTGGGAGGTATTGAGGGGATTTTATAGGAGGAACTAGAGAACAAGAGCCCTTGTCCTCCTCAATCCCTGGCAGAATGTTAAGACCTAGGACTTAGTGGAATCCTAGGGGAAAGGGACTGAAGAGGTCCTTTCACTGCCTTGATTTTAGAGGAGATGAGTGGAAAGGGGGCATTCCTGAGGCTGCTGTGTTTTTCAGCCTGAGATCCTAGAAAGAATCTCTATACAGAAAATAAAGTATGTTTTTCACCATCTCATGCCTTTGTCTCTTCTCTAGGAAACAGAAACTCTATAGGTGGCTGGATAGGATAATGCTGGGAACCCACATCATTTGTATAGCTGGAAGAGTGAAAATCGATGGAGCATCCAGGAAATTCCAAATTCTGTGACCATATGGGATCTGGGAAGTGTTTCCAGGCTGAGATTTGAGAAGTTGAGATGGGATTTTGTGAGGTAACCAGCAATGTCACTTGTGGTTAGAGCTGTTTTGGTTCAGGCTGTCCAAGAAGCAGATACCAAGGCAGAATCAGAAGTGCAAGAGATTTCCTAGGTGATTAAAGGGTAGATATCCTGGAAAGGATAGAGGGATCAAATGAAAAGTCCCAGGCTGCATGGCAGCTCATTGGTGGGCCCAACAATGCTCAGACACTACCCAGAGAAATTGACCAAGCCTTGCATTTCACCACAGTTTGCTGCTGGGGGGAGCTCTCTGGGGACAGTGGTTTGCCCTTGAACTCTGTGGTGGAGCCGAAAGCACTGTAGCTGCAGGCCATCAGATGATCACAGTCCTCAGCACCCATTTTCCCACCTCAGCTTTGGTTCAGTCCTCTGTGTTCAAAAACACATGGGGAAGCCCTGGCTCGTTGGACATGTCAGTAGTAATCACAGGAGCCCAGCAACTTGCTCCTGTTCCTGGGCCACCTGCACCCTCTGTGTCACCTACACAGCCTGGGGCTTCTCACCCCTCAGGCAGCACCAGCAAGAGAGCAATGAGAAGCTTCTAACAGAACGTTGGTGACAAGGATTGTAAAGGTTCTGGAAGAAGGAGTGCAAGGTAAGCATAGACAGCTATCTGCAATAGTACTGCAAACCAATAATAAAGACATTTCTATTTAAATTAAGGCATCTTATATGGGGTTCCTGTATATGCTTTAAGTCAATAAGTCACCTTCAAGATTCTTATAAATTATATATGAAACACACAGGTGATAAATAATACAATTAAACCTAAATCTCCTCAAAACAAATCATTAGCTCTCTACTCCTCAGAAAGAGGAGACATTAAGCTGCTTACAGGAAAAAGATAAGGAGCCTTGAGACCTTCCAAGTACAGTAAGAAGCAGATGAGCCTAGGAAGAACCACACTGGCTGCTGAGAAGCAGAAAACAGCCTCAGATTTTAATTCCAATCAGACACTCAGATGAGTGAAAGCTGTAGAATGCCATTACAAATACTCGTGGAAGTAAAAACATCAAATTCATGATGGAGTATGCTCTCTTCTCCATGGAAAGATGGGTATTTGTTAGCTAAGGAAAGGAACAGCTGCCACTTAGGTATAGGTCAACAAATAATAAAAGATGCGGAGTACGGACATCCTGTGGAACATAAAGATGTTTGCATTTATTCCTGGCCACATGTGATCTGCAAGTAACTAGAGGTGCCTAAAGCCATCTGGTTTTGGTAATACTCCCCCCTTGCTGCCTCAAACCCCTTTCATAAATAGAGTGTACATGTGTGATGTGAGTGACCTCCCCAACTCTGGAACCCAAGAACAATACTTCAAGTCATGACCCCGAAGCAGAGGTTGGGAAGATACAGATGAATAGAGAATGTTCCACTCCATCTTCAAGCATGAAGGGAGCAGCTGATCATAGACCTTGCTTCCCAAACCTCCAAAGGCATTGCTCTGAGATACCATCATTTATTTCTGCCCAGTTCAGGAAAACAGAAGGGAGAGGGAAGAAGAGGCTATGATACATCATATCTCTCAACATACAGGGGTTGTGAACTTCTGGTTCTGGCTTCTCTCTCAAGTGATGCAGCTTGAATAGAGAAGAGTTTGCTAATTAGAAACCAGTGACTAAAAGATGTTAGCCATGATGTGAAGGCAACTGGCCAGCAGCCCTCTCCCTGTCCCGGGTATGTTAGTAGTGTGTATTCTGCTCTTTGGATTTTCATTCAGACAGATTCTGGTCTAGGTTCTCTGCCTTGTGTATGTGTGTCTCCTGTCTTATTTTTATTTCCCATTCCAATTTTCTCCATTCTTTAATCCAATCTGGCATCAATATTTTGGAAGCCATCACCTCCTGACACGTTCCCTGCTGAAATCTCTAGGTTTTACCTTCCTGCTGCACTAATCAATAAGGGGCTTGGTATGTGCTACAGACTGTATGTTTGTGTCCCATCAATTTCATGTGCTGAAACTCTAACCAAACCCTCCATGTAATGGTATTAGAACATAGGGCTTAAAGAGGTGATTAGGCCATTAGAGAGGTGTTCACACAATGGGATCAGAGTCCTTATAAGAAAAAGCATGAGAAAGCTTGCTTCTCTCTCCACAAGGTAAGAAGACTGCCAAATCCACATCTGAAAAAGGGCCCGGACAGAAACTGATTGTGCTGTCACCATGATTTTGGATTATCATCCCCCAGAACTATGAAATTCTATGGTTAATCTGCCTAGTTGGTGGCTTCTCTTATAACAGCCAAACTGAGACATCATGGTAATGAGAATTCATTCCTATTCACAAATTTCCATCTCTAGTTGTCACCATAGGGAGACAGTCCATGCCCTCTCCTCTCTGTTTCTCTCATGCTTAGGCACTACACATTCATATTGCCTGGATTGCACCTGTTTATTAAGTAGGTTGAGAGAAAGGACAGAGTAATATATCCCCAAGGTCTCTGTTTGATAAAGGAAAAGGGCATGTTAGTGAAAGGACAGCACATTTTAACACGCTCCAGAAAAGTGTGAATCCCCAAAAGTAGAATATAGAACTGTTGCCTTCCCTCTCCCTATCTCCAATTTTACAATAATAGCAACAATACTACTACATTCAAGACCTCTCATGCCAAGCACTTTGCATATATTATCAAGTTCAATCTTCATATGCCATAAAGTCAGCCTCATTATTTTTCTGAATTTAATATGAGATGAGGCAGGCATAGTGGAAGTTACATGTCTGTGATTCCATTACCAGAACAGAATCTCAGTAATATTTACTTCCAAAGCGCAAGGTCATAAGCAAGATCCTCTCCTATCTCCTCTATTCATCATATTCCTAGACCTCTAACTTTCCCCTACAGGTGCCACAGTCCAAGCTAAATTGGCCTCCCCAAACAAATTGCCAGATGTGTTCACAAGGTCATGTTTCCAGGATTAGCAAATTTCCATACTTCCATTAGATCAGAAACATATTTCAAAGGGTAAAAGTGTCCTCATGCTTCTTGTAGTCATCCCTACAATCAGGTTGTGTTTCTCACTATGATTTGAAGAGAGGTTGTGTTATGTCCTCTGAGCAATGGCTGCTAAGAGGCTGAAGAATATACCCAGAGATATAATGAAGACTCAATATATATTAACAGAAATGAGTAAGGTTAAGCAAGACTTAAAGACAGGAAAGGATAGGATCCAGTGATAACATGCTTGACAGAGCAGCAAGAGGGTCTGGGGCCAGTGGACCAGACAAGAAATCATCAGTGAGTTCCAGTGGTAGCCAAACAAAAAACTGCCAGAAGGTGCTCATAATGTCCAGTGGTGGGCAGCTGGACTGCAGCACTCCACAGTGCTTTTCTCCATGCCCAGTTTCCACAAGGAAGGGGATTCACAGAAGAAAACTACATAAGCACTGGCATCATTAGCTTGCTTTATTCCATTACATGACCAGCATTTCAAAGAACAGCTGACTTAGCATCTAGGCAGAAAGGAGTTTCTACAAATAACACTAGTTACCCAGTTCCCACTGTCCTTCACTGCTCATGTGAGCAGTCCAGTCTCTCTCCACTAACCATATCCCCTTGACTTGGCAAAAGTTTTGAGGATACAAAAGGAGGATACAAAGAGGGACATAATGCTAAATGTCCTACTTTTTCTCAGGGATGATACAACTTGTCAAGGATTTCCGCATGAAGTTAATCTTGGCACAGTTAGTCTTTGGTGCATAAAATTCGCTAAATATTCACTTTTGGGGGTATAAAACTTATTTTAGAAAGACAAATGTCATTGGAAAGGGTAAGGATTTATGCTTACAACTAACAACTCAAGGATCCCTGTCCCATCTTCAAGACCAGACTCACCTAATTACTGTATTGGAGGCAGAAGGAAAGAGAGACAGGACTGCTTGACTATCCAGGAAAATATCACACAAAGGGAGTGTGGCCTGCGGCCCAAGTTGCCCCAGAACATCACCCAGAAAATGGGGAAATTGAAAACAAGAGGGACCAAGTCAATTGTTTTGGATGAATTATCGGCAGGTGAATAGAGGGAGTTCCTAACATCAGAGGTTTGCCTCTCTTGGTTGAGGCAGAACCCAGAGGGACTGGGCATGCGAATTTGGTTATGTACAAAACCCCAGGTTCAACATCAGGAGAGGAGAGGAACTTTGGGAGGAAATGTAGGGAGGTGGGGTCATTTAATCTACTTCACTTCCCTCTTGTCTGAGCCCAGTGCTTTTTTGCAACATTTCAACATTATTCCTCTTATATAAAGAAGCTCACTATCTCCCACCTACTCTGTGCCCCAGTTTTTTCTTCCTTCATGAAAGTTTGCAAAGTTAGAACTAAAGTGTAAAATCTTCACTTTCCAAATGCCCTGACATATACTGTTAGCTGCTGATTCTTGGAGGCCCTAATCTTAAAACTGTGCCCAACTCAGAATGCAATTGTTTGCCTTTCCTGGATAGTAAAACAGTTCTCAGAGTATTTTATAGGATGGCACTTTATTTTTATACAATTTTAAAATTCAACCAAATTTTATAACTATTTCAATTATGTATATCTTTTCCCACATGTTCAACTTAGATACACATCCAAGCAAGGAGAGAAGTCTATATACTGAGCAATGTTGCTTTTGTAAATAGTGAGAAGGAGGGGGAAGGGTGGCATATAACTAAAATGCAAGTAGTAGGAAGTGTGTCTTTTTATAACAAGAAAAAAGACTATAAGCCACAACTCTCTCTAATTGTATCTCTCTTTAGATAGCAGAATAGGGTTCCATGAACCATCGTAAT